CCACCAAACTAGCATTATAAACAATTATTAAGAATATTCTAGACAGAGACAATGAAGCCACCAATGCAATATGTTGAAAAAAATAAATACGTCTGGTGGGGTGAGCACTTAAGCAAAAGGATGGGGTAGGAAATCAACTGGAAAATAATGCCAAGACAGAAATAAGGCAATATCTCTCAGCAACAACTCTTAAGATAAATGGTTTTAATTCTTCATTCAAAAGACACAGCTTGGCAGAATGGATGAAGAAACTAAACCCAATGATAAGCAGTGCAGAAAAAATTTTAAAAATCACTAATTAAAAATCAAATGAAAAACAATATTGCATGTAGTGGGAACCTGAAAGAAAAAAGTCACTATTCTAATTTCAGGCAAAATGGATTGCAAGCCAAAAATGAGTAGAAGAGCCAAAGAAGGCTACCACAAATGGGTTAAAGGAGTAATTCAACCGGAAGAGATAAAAATTATGAATATATATGCACCAAATGCTAGTACACCCAACTTCATAAAACAGGCACTAATAGGTATGATAAAACAAACACTAATACAACTATAATGGGGGACCCCAATACATCACTGTCACAAATGGACAAATCAATTAGACAAAATATCGGAATGAAATATCAGAGTTGAAATAAATCTTTAAAGAAGTGGACTTCATAGGTTCCTACAGATGAATATTCTATCCCAAAACAAAAAGCATACACATTTTTCTCAACAGCACATGAGACTTTCTCCCAAATAGACCATGTTAGCTCAGAAAGCATGTGTAAGTAAAGGTATAAGAACTTGAAAGTATCCTATGTGTGTTATCAGGTCATAGTACAATAAAACTAGAAATCAATAGCAAAATATACAATAAGAACTATGCAAATAGATGGATAAAATATAATACCCTCTAGGATAATCAACAACTCACAGGTGAAATTAAAAAAGAAATTAGGTATTTCCTACAATCAAATGGTAATTCTAGTACAATATACTGGAACCACAATGAAGGTCCGAAGAGGGGAGTTTATAACAATGAATTCTCACATCAGAAAAACAGCAAATTCAAATAAATAACCTAGTGATGAACTTCAGTGTTCTTGAAAAACAAGAGCAATCCAAATCCAAGGCTAGTAAAAGGAGGAAAATTTTGAATGTGAAGAGGAGAAATTAATGAAATTGAGACTAAAAAAACAAAAGGAACTGATGATTTGAAAGATTAAACTTAATAGACAAATTCTTAACTAATCTTAACCAAAGTAAGAAGAGCAAAGTACCAAATCTATGCAAATAGAAATGAAAAAGGGAAAACCACAATAGATTCTGTTCAACTGGTAACTACTTATAAAATGGAACATTCAGAAGAAATGGAAGAAGAACCAAGAACATATAAATCCTGAATAATCTCCGTCAATAAAATTGAAGAAGTAATAAAAATCTAACTAGGAAAAGCCCAGGTCTTAATGGATCCACTGCCAAATTCTACAAGAACTTTAGAGAAGGTCTAACTCCAATACTCCTTATGCTCTTTAATGAAGGTAAATGGGATGCAGTATTCACAAAGTCATTCCTGAAAGCAGGCATTACCCAAGTCCAAAGCTATAGAAGGACTCAACCTTAAAAGAGAACTATAAGATAATCTCTTTTTTTGGCTTTTTAAAAAAATTTTATTTAAAGAAAGACTAAACAAAACAGAAAATAGGTAGAAATAATATATACATTCAGAGAAAAAAATAAGCAGTAAGAAATCACTAGTTGATGTTTACATACTGTCATTTTACAAATAGTTGTTCAAGATACAAAATGGAACATATGGGAATTCAAACAGCGAGACTGCAAATAGTTCTGTTCAACTGCCCAACAAAAACTTAGTAACATGGTTATCAATCCTATACACTTAAACATACATGCAGTTATCCATCTCTTCAATTATGCTGAGATTGAATAAACCCAAGCAGGCTAATATCACTCTGAACAAATAATAATACTATTGCTGGGTTTCACATTATGACACTCCAGGATCAGCACTGGGTATTTTAGTGTCTCTTTTTCTTCAAAGTATCTGTTCATTTCATCACGTGTCATATGATCAGTTCTCATAAACTGTTTACAGATTCTACACATGCATGATCTTAACATGTATTTCTATCCTTTATATATTATAGGGAGAAACAAAACAAAGCAAGACAAAATAAAACATATTCCTATAAACACATGAAACAAAATAAACATATAACACCATTGTAGAAATCATTCTACCATAGTTCCTGTGTTGTCTCTTGTTATCTCCAATAGAATTGGCTATATTGTCAGACATAGTATAATTGAATATGTCAGTACATAACAGTATTAATAAAAACACAACTTTGTATGTAGTATAGAACTTCAAAAACCGGCAGTTATCAAACCAGAATGTGTATCGTTGAGTCTTGTCATCTTCAGTGTAGTTGCCTATACTCTCAGACTTGATACTATCAATCATATCAGTTTTGAATAAAATCTTGTCTGCCTCATTTCTATTATGCTCTTTTTTTTTGCCATCAGTTGTCTGCTTATCTTCTTTCTTCTGTTTTCTGCTCCATTCATTGAGGCCTCTCTGCCACTGTTCCTGGAGTCCTAGTACTTTTCTCTCTCTCTAGAATGCCCTGCAGTATTCTCTGAAGAGTTGGATTGGTGGTTGCAAATTTCCCAAGTTCTTCTTTGTCTTGGAAGCATCTTGTTTTTTCATTAATTTCTAGAGACAGTTTATCAGGGTATATCAATCTGGGGTGGAGGTTATTTTCTTTCAGGGCTTGGAATATTTCACTCCGGCTCTTCTTGACTTGATGGTTTGTGTCAAGAAGTCTGCTGTTATTCTGATGGACCTTTCTCTGTAGGTTATCTGTTTCTTGTCTCTAACAGCTTTTAATATTCTGTTCTTATATTGAATTTCTGGGATCTTGACTATTATATGCCTGGGTATAGCTCTGTTTTGGTTGTAGGTGGCTGGAGTTCTGTATGCCTCATACATCAGAATATCATTTCCTTTTCCTATGTTTGGGAAGCTTTCCTTAATTATTTCTGTGAATAACCTTTGTAGTTTCCTTTGTTTGTATCCCAGCTTCTTCATTTACATTCTTTATTCTCAAGTTATAGATCCTTTTGTCATCTTCTAGCCTTTGTATTGTTACTGCTTGTTTTCTTGTTGTTTTTAAAAAGTTTTCCCTTTCATACTCCCACATTGCAAAATTGGTCTCCAGTTTGGATAATCTATTCTTAGTTTCTTTCAAGCTGATTTGACATCTTTCCATAGAGTTTTTACTTTCCTGGTGATCTCTTTGAATCTGTTTCCTGTATTCTATATTTTTTTATATTCTTCACCAAATGGTTCTCTCCTGTGTTTGAGTTCCTCCCTTCTTCTGTCTGTGTCTGCTTGAGGGATGCTTAGTATCTCTTTTATTAATTTTCTTTTATCTTGCTTTATTTGGCTAAATATTTCACTTTTGAACTTGTCTATGAGGTCCCAAATATATTTCTTTATGACGTAAAGAAATAGGCACTGTGTCTGATATTGCATGTTTGCTGCTCTCATTATCCTTTGCATTTACCTGTCCTGGGTCCATGTTCTCAGGGTTGGGGCCTGAGGACTTTTTGTTGTTGCTTTCTCTTCCCATCTTTTTTGTTTCTTCCAGGAGGCCCCAGTTTCTTTCTTTGTTGGTTACCATTGTTCTGAGGCATGCTGGCTAGATGACCCTTTACACTGCAGTGTGCTAGTGAGTTGCAGACAGGGACAGCATATGCCTGCCCCTTCCCTCCAGATCAGTCAAGCTGCTTTAGCCCGCACTACTGTATTATTTTGTCCCGCCTCCCCTCTGGGCCAGCCAAACCTCCAAGGCCCCATTGGGCCAGTGTGGTTACTGTGTGCCACCGCTGCAGTGACTTGTCATCAGATAACCTTTTGGGTCTCAGCCGGGTCACGTTACCCAGGTCTAGCTCACTCCACCAATCCCGTTTGGGAAGGGAACAATTAACCAAAGTCATGCTGCCCCTTGCACTTGCCAGTCCTGCCCGGTTCCAGAATGTCTTCCGCAGGAGCCCCCCTATTTGTGGAATAGCTCCACTTCTGTCACTCACCACAGGTCATGTAGGTTCCCCGCCAACTCGGCTCTCCGTTTGACTTGCTGACCCTCGAACTCAGTGTAACTGTGCCTCCAGTGAGTCAAAGCAGCAGGGCCTCGGACGGCTCAGCAAGTCATGGTGGGACCTCGGCCAGTCGCAGCGGGACCCTGGCAAGTCACTGTGTCAGCCAGTTGCGGTGGGACCTGGAATGTTCGGCAACTCGCCTTATTTCTTCTTAGGACAAGAGAATTCATCTCCCTCTGTTTGGGGTTCTCCACTCTGTATTATGTTGAATTCTAAGTTGACTATCTCAGGGAGCCTCTGTAGCCAGTTGTTATCTATCCGCCATCTTTGCTCCTCCCCTAAGTTAATCTCTTTGACAAACATCGATGCAAAAGTCCTGAAGATACTTGCCCAAAGAATGCCGCTGTCATTGGAAAGATCATGCAGCGTGACCCCCTATTCAGTTTATTTTCTTGTTGTGAGGATAAAAGTGATGACTTCTAAGATTTTTAGATGTCAGGGCTTAATTTTTATAAATTGATCTTGTACCTGGTAGCTTTTCAGAGCTCTTTTATTAGTTTTAGTTGTTCATTGATTCGATTGCATTTTTTTCATGCCATCTGCAAAAAATTACAGCTTTGTATATTTGTTTCAAATTACATTTTCTATTCCTTTTTTCCTATTACACTGGAACCTTGCTTTCTTCAATAACTGCTAATGTTCTACAAATTGCTGAGTATAGTGGTTGTATATAGGAGAATATAGTACTATCTCGACTCTGTAAAACTTCCATAACAGCATTTTATTTCTGAGATGTGTACTCTGAAATTATTTATTTTTCCAGAAATTTGGAATTCTAACTCTCTGATGTCTAGTTTCTCTCTTCTATTTTTTTTTTTTGTTTGTTTTAGGCAGGGTCCCACTATATAATTCAGGCTGGCCTTGAATTTACCAGGAAGCCAAAGTTGGCCTGGAACACAAGATGATCCTCCTGTCTCAGCCTCCTGAGTTCTGGGATTACAGGTATATGTCATCATGCATAGCTTTTATTTTTAAATGACCAGAGTTTGGACTTTAAGGTTAAAATACTAAGTTAGTAGTTTTCAAAGGCTTGATTTGAATCACAAATATTGGTTGAATGATACTTTTCTGCATATTGAAGGAATCACAGACATTTTCTTTGAAATCTGGTTAGGTGGTGAATTGTAGTGATTTTCTAATATTAATTCATCTTTGGATTCCTTGGATAAATTTGGCATGGTCATGATATAGTATTACTTGTCATAGACTGCTGAATTTGGTTTCTTAATGTCATGATTTCATGAGCTAATTCGTTTCAGACAATTCAAAGAGTTTTTGAATTCTTGTCTATAAACAAAAATTTTCCTCCAATCTAACACTTTCTCTTTCAAAAAATCACACCACTGAAATATGAATATCTTAATTTATGTTTTATTAGATCGTTTATAAATTCTATTAGGTAATATGTAATTGATTCTATGATGCTTAAAGACCTTTTGGCTCAGATCAGTGTTATTAATGATTATTTTTTATTATATTCACTTTTTTTTTTGGTGCCATGGATTGAACTCACGACCATACACTTGCGAGGCAGGTGCTTGTGCCCCTGAGCTAAATCCCTGGCTATATTCACTTTCACAATATCATATACACATGATATTGTCTGGGTACTTTGATGTTATGGAGTCAAACTTGGGTTTCTTTAAAAACATACTCACTAACTTATTTATCAAACATTTATTAACTATTTACTACATATTAAGTACTGTTCTGGGATACTGTTCTAAGGATACAGCAAAGAAAAAATTTCCTGCCCTAATAGAGCATCCTGGGAAGAGTTGTAAGATCCTTGAGCCAGCCTCCTTAGGTATCAAACTACATGTTTTCACAAAAGTAGCATTGTAAAAGTCTTCTTAGGACCTAATATGATCTCAGAATAGAAATAGAACATTGTAATATTCCCCAATTTATATAAAAACATTCTTGTTAGCCATTTCTTTTTGTCTAGGAATGAAACTTTGGTAGACCATTTTCAATAAATAAGAAAACATATTTGACCTTACCATTATAGACCACTTTTCATTGAAAGATTAACTTTATAGTACTTTTTGATTACAGTTTATGTAAATATACAACATTCATTCATAATCAAGCATGGAGTATATTGTATTGTAAAATTATTTGCTGTGTGTTTATCTATTTTCAAATGACTTGTATAAATTATAATTTTATTATATCAAATGAACTAGTAGCATACTCTGAAAATATTTCTTCAATGCCCACAAATAGATTTATATATATTTATACTAAAAATTAATGAATGTGTTATTCAAATACAGGAAACATTTGTTTTGATTTACATTTTGCAACTCAATTTTTATTAATTGAAATAATTAGGAATCACTTTTAAATTACAGAGAATTTTATAATAGGTAAGTAAATTAATAACAATTACATGTTTACCAAGTTTGTAAAACATGGAATTTTAGTTCTAATAAAATTTTTCATTTAAAATAAAAACAAAATCACAGTGAATCCAAAAACTGTCAAGCTGAGAGCAGATATATTGGTACACAGAGCAGGAGCACTGGATTGCCATGGAGGAATAAACTTGGTTACATGTGCAATGTTAGAGACCTCTGAGGTGAGATTGGCCTTACTGATGGTTTGAATTGCAATATAGACCCCAGTGCCATTTTCGATCTTAAGAGATTCTGGTTTAAATTCAAAATGTTCTGCTGAGCCGGCTTCCTTAGGTATCAAACCAGAAGTATTCACTAAAAGAGCGTTGTGAAAGTCATCTTGGAGATCCAGGAAACATTTACTTATTCTTATAATATAATGATCAGCTGGAAAACAAACAGTTCAGGTGCATTAAAAGCACTGGGATACCTTATTGCACCACACTGCCTCATGTACAGGGACAACCAGAAATGCACACCAGAGTTTAGTTATGGAAATCCAAGCTATGGTTTTTGTCTAGTTATCCCCTTTTCTCTAAGAACAGACATAAAAACAGCTTTTTATGTTGTTACCTCCTCATAGAAAAATTTAATTCAGTATCAAATAGTACTTGTTTTAGCTAGATTTCTTTATTTAAAAAGAGAAATATAATGAGCTGAAACACTTTTTAATTTAGAACAAAGAGAAAAAAAATGTTCCAAAATAATAATGACATCTAGTACAATTATCTCTATATTGTTGCTTATTAAATTTAAAGGGAGAAACAGGAGGATAAGTAAGAGAGAGGCAAAGAAGTAAGCATAAAAAGTAATAAAAGGCAGAGACTAATGTGTACTAATTATTACACTGTAATGTGTACTAAATATGCTCAGAAGCTAGGTAGACCTTGATTAACATGCTAATTATACTGCTTTTTAGCCATGCAACAAAAATTTTTTTAACTTCTCTTATTTCCATCTTTTAATCTATAAAATAGTCAATCATTCAATTTCTTTACCAAGGATTTATTAAATGCCTAGTATTCTAGTGGGGAGCACGATACAGGATAATGTATTAAAATTATTTTACACAAATTAATAAATAATATGTTAATTATTATAACTTAATTTATTAAGAAAGGAAAAAAAGATCCACATGTTTCATTCTATATCACTTTTTGAAGTTGACCAGAGTCCTTGATATAGAAATGTCTTCTTACATTTTGAAATGTGAGAATAAAATATCTAATATTCTTTTTCTGATATGAAGACTTTGTTTTTTATGTTTTCAGGAAATTTTCAAGGTATTTCATGTGTGTGGTGAATAGCTTTGATTTATCAGATTTTAAATATTCAGTGATTCTGCTTAATATTTCATTTATCTAGTATATATTTCATCAACCCATCTTAATCATTCTTCACTCAAACCCTGTGCCCTATGTAGGTAGAGCCATAGACCTCTCAATCTCTTACTTTGATTTAATATTCCATTGTGAAGTTTTGCTTTCTTGACCTCCATTGTGCTTTTTGGTTTGGTGATGTACTTCCTTGTCTTTACTTATGCAAATTTTATGCATTCTTCCAGGCCTAGCCAACGCCTGATTTCTCATGATGTCTTGGTCAAAAGTTCAGAATTTTGTCCTGATGACCCTAGTGACTTTCTTTCATGAACACCTGTTGCATGGCATGTAGCCTTTCAGATTGCTTTGTGGAAATTCATTTTCTTCTTTTTTTTTTCTTTTCTGCCTTTTTGAGACAGGATCTCACTATACTGTACAGGCTGGCCTTGAGCTCACTTTGTAGTCCAGACTGGTCTCAAACTTGCAAGGATTCTCCTGCCTCAGCCTCCTAAGTGCTAGGATTACAGGCATGTGCCACCATGCCCAGTTTTAGAAATTCATTTTTGTATTCTGATGTCATCCTATAACTCCTGAGGGTGAACACAATTTGTTTTTACAATAATTTCAGTCTGGTCCTCTATTGAGCACATATTTCATCTCCTTAATTGCTTGTTGGCCAACAATTCACTTGATACTCAAAATGATGAAGTTAGAGAATTATAAAATATTGGGATTATATATTCTTCTTTTAGTAATTCTGGGTCTTCTGGTTTAATTTGCATATCTGATAGTTATGGAAATTTTATCCTAGGGAAGTAAAGTGTTTAAGATTACATAGGTTTTCATTTATTTGTTAAGAGAATGCTATTCCCGGACTTTTCCAATAACAATTCAGCTGCTGTTATGATAACTCTTACTGTTTGTTACAGAAAAGGATTATATCATGAGTATTTAAGCATTTGTGGTTATACATAGTGAAGATCTTTCTCAGTGTATACAAGGAATGCATTCCTCCTACTGTTCCTATACTCAGCATGAAGAATATTTATTAGAGCCTAATCTTGTGCTGATGGGTTGGTTTTTTTTTTTTTTTTTTTGGTACTGGGGATTGAACTCACAACATCACACTTGTCAGGCAGGTACTTATGCCACTGAGCTAAATCTCTGGCCTGATGGGTTGGTTTTTACTGAATTTGATTTAGAACTAATGTTTAATGGAGTAGGTTCATTTGTGCCTTTTTCTGTGATAGTATTGGGTATTTTTCATTTTATTTGATTTTGCCATGTGTTTAAAAATCATACCATAAGAAAGTAATGTTTTTTGTAGGTAGTCACAATAAGTCACCTACATTGAAGTTCAAAAGATTTGTTAGTAATTATTTTATGTTTTCAAGGCTGCTGAAAGATTTTTTTCTGTGTATAGTGAAGATAAAAAAACATAGCTTTGAAATGCTCTATGATGAATGAAAAGTTGAAAAGTATCTTTCATTTTGAAAATGTACAGTAACAGATTTATGTAACCTGTGATAAACTGTACTAAATATGTGGTGTTTCGGCACTGCCAATATATATTTTATATATGTAAAATTATTATTATTGCTTCTATTGTCCCACCTAAAGGGAAGTAGCAAGATTGGCTTTATCCCTTAAGAATCTATAGTCTACACAATACTGGAATACAGTACATATTCAATAAAGAGTGATTAAATTTAGTTATATTTAAACATGGAAGTGTTTTAAACTTTTAAAAATTTATTATTAGGAACTTTGGATAAATGAAATACATTGACCTTGAACTTTCTTCTAACTCCATGGCCAAATTTTCCAACTTATTGAGCTTCCATACACATGGACTTTTCTCTGTTGGGTATCTTTACTTAATTAGGCTAACTGCTGTCATTCTTTAAGACTCAGCTAAGGGATACTCTCCCCTAGGAAGCTTTTTAAGATATGCTCCATTGTCTTAATTCTCAGCTAGAGGTTTGTGGCCCACCTAGACGTTGCCATTATTCTGTGTCTACAGCAGCCTGTCTCTTACATTTTATGAATGTATCTAATTTTTGGGAGTAAAGATTGTTTGTAGAGACCCAATAGTTTTTGAAAATTCAACAGGATGCAATAAATGAATAAAATTTTGCAACTACAGAAATACTTTGAAAAAATTTTCTTTGCTAGGGAGAAAAGCACATAACAAAACTATTGTGTATTCTTAATTTTTAAAATGACTCAAACTGTGAGAAGCATTCTGGCACAATAGAATCTAATACACAAGGCCAGGTTACAGTTCTGTTACTAAACATAGAAATAGCTTGAATCAGTTCATTATCTCTTGGCGTTTCAGTTTTCACGTGTTAAATACATAATGGTGCATAACTTATAAATGTTATTCATAAATGAGACAACAGAAAATTCCTAGCAAATGAAAACCGATGGGATTTCTTGTATCGTATTTTAAATCTTAATATCAAACTTACCTTTTCCTTTATCAAGGACATTGCCAGAGGCAGTCCATGAAAGTTGAATATGATCTCCTTGAAATTTAGCCTGAAGGTCTGTAATTTTACTGGGTGGGAACACAGGAGTATGGTTACCCTTAGGAGGCGCTCCTGACACAATGAATGACTCTCCCAAGCTTAGTCTGCTGAAGTCCTCCAGTTCAACTTTTTCTGCATCTTCTTTGATTTCAGGTCTGGGCGGGTTCATTATAATTTTGCCTACCAAACAAACAAGCGGTAATATTGTAACCTTTCCTATTCCTATGTTTATTCCTTATCTTGTTAGGTGATTTTGCTGCTGTAAATGATTGGTGCTGATGGCAAACATTAAAGAAGGGAAGCTTTTAGTGAAGCATTTTAATGTTTTTAAATTGAGGAGACCATATGCCACGTTAAAACTCTGTTTTAACTTGTCTTTCTACAGGACTTGACTGAAAATTCTTTGAGTTCTTTGCATCTTAGTTACTTTGTAGCTCCTGCAGCTGGCACAGTGTTGGCCACATCAGAGATGATCAGTAAATTTTTATTTTATTGTGAATGAAATGAACCAGGTGGGATGTGAACAAAACATGTAATCATAGACTGTGGTAGGTCCATTAGTAGTAATGTGGGTTTGGAAAATATAGATGAATACTTGTGTTCTCTGAAGTACATTATATTTTCAATGTTTGCCATATGCAATTTACCTATATAGGTTATTATTTGTTTCAGTGCTACTTACCGTTTTCAACATAGCCAGGTATATACAGAGCCTTATTCTGTTGTCTTAAACTTACTCTAGCTGTGTTTTTTCTTGCCTGGGCATGAATTTTTAAGCTGTATCTACCATTTCCATGGTAATCTGTGAAATATCTTGAGTAAATGCCATCGTTTTTGACAGTATCAGCACCTAGACATTGAGATATAATAATCAGTCATCAGGAATGGCGATGTCAGCAGTTTGGAAGACAATATAGTACAGAGTTTAAGTACATGAACCTTGGGATGACACTATTTTGGTTTGAAGCCTAATTCATGATAGGCATTTAATTAATAATAGCTGATATTATTATTATTTCATAAAAGAAGCTTATCGAAATATGGAAAATATAACTTGCCGGAGCTAGCACCTGTGAAACACTGACACAAATTAAAATGGGGAAAAATTGTACTCTTAACTTCCCCTAAGCCAGATATGGAGGGCACAGGACTGCAATTCCGGCCTTCTGGTGGTTGAGGTGGGAAGATTGAAAGTTCAAGCCCACCTTGGGCAACTGAACAATTAAGTGATATCCTGGTCTTAAAATAAGCAAATATAAAAAATGGCCAGGTCAGTAGCTTGGTGTGACGGCCCTAAATTCAATCTGCAGTACTGCAAACAAAACAAAACAAAACAAAACTCAACAACAACGAAAAGTTCCACAGAAAAAGTAAAATTGTTCATGACATTTAAAGAAGGTAATTATTCTTATGTCTGTGCTTTGTCAAGATAACTAAGTGAAAAATTTTAAAAAATTATAGCTAAATGTAATTTTCATTAAAATATGATTAATCAGCATTTACAGGAAATATTCACTTCTAAATCACGGAATCCTGTGGGAGGATTTAAAATTCAATAGAAGTGGATGCAGATTCTCATTACCTACTCCATTGTCCCAGAGCTCCAGTGTTACTTGATTTCCATCTTCAGCTTCTATAATAGCTGTAACGCTGATTCCCAGAACAGGCAAAAAGCCTTGACTGACTCGTGCATAGACAATCATTGGACTAGGGTAATGTGCCGTATTTTGACTCATATGAGCAGTTGCAATTATTGGGAGTGTTGTGGGACTTTTTGCTCGAGTGGTCACTGTCAGTGTTAGCAATTGAGAGTTGATATGCTTATTATGAAGGCTATAAGTCCATCTGCCTGTCTGAAAATTAAAAAAAAGACTGTAAAAGCTTTTGTAATATTTTCCTACTCTTAAATTTAGAATATAAAATTATTTAGAAATTTAAAATGATTTTTCATATTTGATTTTACAAACTGGTAAATAGTGCAATTTTATTACTTTTATTTCTCTGCTTTTATGACAGATGATGTGTTGCTATTTCAACATTGACTGTATGAGATGTTGTTTTTATTTTTTTATCATAGGAATTGACTAATAAAACGATGAAAATAAAAAAAATGGATCTACCTCTGCAATGCCTGGTATTCGAAGTCGGGCAGAATGAATATTTAGCTTATCTTCTTTGAAGTCTGAGGTTTCATATATTTTTCCTTTTGGATCCTGAAGAATAATTTCTGGCTTCCTTCTTGTCCAGGTGACAACAAAGAAAGTGTCATTTCCGATTGTACTATCCACAACCACTGTACCATTTACCCATTTATTCCTTGTAATGTTAAAAGCTTTGCTTTCCAACTATTACAAATGAAAACACACATAAAATGCACTTATTATTGTAGGAAATGGGATTTTAAAGTTTAGTTCATAGTAATTTTAAATTTAAAATTTTAATTAAAGTAAGAATTAAAGGATTTTCCAAACAATATGTATAATTTTAAAGAAGAATTTAAACAAAAGTGGTGATTAGTGTCATGGAAAAGGAAATTGCATAAAGATGTTTTTGTTCTGCACACCTGAAATATTTTTATGAACTATTTGTTATAGACAGAAGGGTTAATAATTTGGATAATAGAAATTTATTACAACTGTGAGAAAGCAAGAAAACATTTTAACATTACTCACTTGAAGAGATTGCTGAGCAATGTCTCCACTTCTAGATGAAATTCTGCTGAAAGCATCAATAAGCCCATTTATGTCTTTATAGACGTAAAAGTGATGTCCTCCTAAAATGGAATTTCAAATGGAAAAAAAATCACATTTTTGAAGTAATTAATACTTTAAAATCCACTGAAAATTTCTTGTTAAATTTAAAAGATGAATTTCATGAACTTTTGATATATCAGCATCTCAACTAATCCCCAATAACTAAAACTTTGCTCAAAATAAGGATGAGGAATGAACATAATGAATAAGAATAAGAATGAAGGAAAATAAGAATAAGAATGAAGAAATGTTTAAAGATAGATCAAGTTTTATTGTTTTTATATCAATCATCAAATGGTAAGTGTGTGCCAATTAGTAAAGTTAAGCCCTAAATAATGTTGTACCAATGAAATTTAAGCTAATTCTTATGAATCAATTATTTATTTTCTAGCTGAGTTAAAAACATGCCAAGACAATTAGAGAGCAGCAATTCAGAATAAAGCAAAACTTGATTATACAAAATACATAACATAGGAATTAAGGAATAGAGAGTTTATTTGGTTGTAAGGAGTTAGGAAAGAATTGGGGCAAGATAGTGTAGGGCAAGAATTAACACAAGTGGCTGCCACAAATAAGAAAAGCTGTACGTATTTATTGAACTAATAAATGGCAGAGAGGCCACTTGGAAGACTCCTAAAGTAGCCCAGGCAAGGAGGTTGTGAAGACAGCTTAGGAGGCGTGGGAGGACAGAAGCAGAGTGGGATGATGTGAGGAGGTCTGAATTGGTATTCAAGGTTCTAGCTATGGCACTGGGCAACACATTTGTAGTCTCCAGGTTTCCATTTCCTCTTCTATAAAACAGAGGTGTCTAAATCTTCACTGTAGGATTGAATGGTGTTTTGGAATTAAGCAATAATTTTGAACTTGGTGAGTAACCATAGGGAAAGAATGTTCTGTTTAGTGGTATTGACAAAAAGTAGATGAGCAGTGAATGAAGATAGAAAATACTGAATAACTTGAGAAGTTGGTACATGAAGAAGTAGAGAGAGAAAAGAAACTAATTGGAAAGACAAAAGACAAATAATTTTAGGTGGGAAATATTTGTGCATATTTATAGTTTATGGAGAAACAGCTCTTGGAATGGGAGAGACTAGAAATTTATTTTCAATTGAAACTTTCTATTCCAAAGGTTTACCTGTCATATTTGACAGGATCTCTAGTTCTTTGGCAGCAGAAGGTCCCAGAGCAATGGTGTGGATGATTGCACCACTTCGTTTGACCTCCTCGAAGCATGAGCTTATCCCATTATCTTGCCCATCTGTTAGCAATATGATTTCAGAACCAGATGTACTCTGGTTACTCTTGGTAATTGCCTAATAGTAAAAAATCATGTTATTAATTACAGAAACTCACTTCTGAATAAATGTAAACTAAGAATAAACTACTTTTTTTAGTTTTGGAGAAGTCCTTAGTCTTATGTATCATAGTAAGCAAAAGGAAATTTTTTGCATTATCATTTCAGACTGAGTTGGCATATGGGAATGAGTATAATATATAGGTTTGTAAAGCTACAGTTGTAATACCATATATGTGTTGCTACCCCAGAGAAGGAGAATAAACATTTAGAAAAGCTCTGACACATGATAAGTCTTCAATGAATATTAATTGCTGTTATGATCATAGAGATATTTGGGGTAGAAGCAAGTGATCTACACAATTCTGAAAGACTACAGACTACTATATAGGACTTCCAGTGTCATGCCCAAAGGTGACTTTGTGAGGTTAAATAATTATGTACTTTTAAAATATTTTTTATTTGGCAATTTCCAGGATTTCCCAGAAAAGCTATTGACTTGCTATGAAGAAGAAAGTTCATGAACTTATCAATTATTATAATTAAAGTTTTTTCCGCTAAGAATATTAGCTAATGTCTTTGCCATTAGATACCTAAAGGTGAAATTGCAGCTCTTCCATTTGTTAAACAGAATAATCTATAGTTTAACCATTTTCAAGACACACACACATATACACAAATGGCTTTTATAGCAAGCTTAAATTAGTAGTTAAATTAATGGATTTTAGAGTCAAAAAGATCAGAGTTTGAATACTAGATCTGGCAATTATTGACTATATAACCTAGAGAAAGATTTAATTACTCTGAACCTCAGTTTCCATATGTACAAAATGAGCATAATAATATTATTCAGCTCACAAATTAAGCAAGGCTATAAGATCATACGTGTAAAACACTGAATGCAGTATATGGTCAATAAACATTAACTGATATTGATTTATAACTAAAATGCTTATGTACTGATATGCTTTTGTTGTATGATTAAGAGCCTTTTATAACTTGAATATGATTTGTCAATATATATTCAGCAACAGATTTTGTGATCTAAATAAGATAGCAAAACAGATTAAGAATAATACATATAAAACAATTATATACAAATATTTAGATATATTACCAATATATAATACTTATCATATTTTAGAAGTGACTATAGCCATATACAAGTTATGATGTTTTATAATAGCTAGGCATTCTTAACATTTATTTATTTTACATAATTCTCACATTTAAATAAGTACAATGAAAACCCGTGTGTCCTAAGTTGAGCAAACACATTTTCTGAATTGAATTACTTACCCAAAAGAGTCAGGATCTCAAGCTTTTAAAATCAATATGCTTTAATGAAAAATAGGCACCACAAGGAAAGTTAAAAGATGGTATTGTTTAGTGGAATGGATAAAAGTAGCAGTGATTTTTAAACAAGACAAGGAGACCATCAAAGGAAAGTTTTCTGTTTTTGTGACTTAAAACCTGGCAGTAGGCTTAAGTGGCGACAACTCAGGTTAGAAAAGGTTTAAATGATACTGGAGGTAGTTGGCTGTAGTGCTCAACAGCTGCTCATAATTTTTTGAGTTCACAAGTTTGATTTCATTAAGCTTCATCCTATGGTATGTTCTTTGGCTGTGATTCCTTCACTGTTTGAGGAGCTACCTCCATCTCTCATTATAAAACATCAATTTAAATTGATAAACTGGGATTTATCCATAACATTCAAATGTTACTAAATTCCTTTGGACAGTCTGCTTATTGAGATTATTTTGTACCCATAGAAATTCAGATTATGGGAGAGCAAGAGAAATGGGCTCCTGTTCAATAAGATTGTGACTATATATGCCCACTATATATTTTCCCCCTTATTTGTCCATTTCCCAGTTAGTACCTCAAGAGAATGCCAGTGAAACAATCAGATGCAGAGAAGCTCTTTCTGTAAACAACAGATAAGAGGTCACTGTTTTTCTTTCCAAAAATGACTTACCTGGATCAGGTCAGAATATTACTAATTGAGGAACCCATGAACTCATGGTCCTTGTTCAAATACTAATGGCAAAATTAAAAGAAATAGTATATAATAAGTGATATTATGATTTTAAGTTTTTATTTTACCTGGAATCCTTCTTTGAGTCCGCTGCAAATTGAAGTTCCACCACTAGCAACTTGAGGAAGTTTTGAGGTGATGTTTAGATAGGCCCTATCATCAGTTATTTTTATTAGGTTAGTTTGGATGGTAGCATAATCTTCAAATGTGACCATCCCGACCATGGATCCTTTTTCAATAATTTGAATTAAATACATTTCTGCTGCTTGATTCATTCGAATGAGACGAGACAAGCCAAGATCATCTTCCTGTAAGAAAAAGATGTAGGAACGCTTCCTGAGACTTCAAATTGTGAAAGACAAAGTCATTAATGGTTTGATCCTGAGGACTGATGAGTGTATTTGAAAATTTACTCCATTTAATTAAAACTTTAAAAGATTAAAAATTAATCATTGTAAATTATAGAAGTCTTAAAGTTCTGTGCTCCTTTATTTAGCAGTTATATACTTAGTAATTTCTTTTAAGGAGGTAATTAAAATGCATGCAAAGATGTTCATTGCAATGTATCTTTTAATTGTAGTAAATTGAAAACCTTCAAAGTATTCAACACAAATTGTTAGACTATATTAAAGAGTATACATGAGACACAATAATTAAAAATTATATCATGGAATTGTATTTTACTTAGGGAGTGTTTAAGATATATAAAAACACAGATTACAAAGTATATAAGTACAACCACATTTTAAAGAAGAAAAATATATTAACAGAAATAAAAGGATGGGATGATATGTTTAATGATAAGTCATGGATAATTTTTAGTTATTTTTTATTTGGTCATGTTTTTCTGGTTAGTTAGAACTAAAAGTTAAGGAGTAAAAATTATAGCAGCCATAATGTTACACTTATTTTTATTTTAACATATTCTAGTACTTATCTAAAACTATTGTGTAGAAATTTGCCACAACAGAAATGTGTTAGCCAAACCTAAGATTAAATTATATTTTTCATTTAAATATGTAATTTAAGAGAGTAAGCAAAAAACTGTCTTACTGTAGACATGCTTCCAGATTTATCAAGTACCAAGCAGACTACTCGCTGTTGGGACTTGAGCAGTGAAAATGTAGGATGAGGTGGTGGATTTGTTCCTTTCAGAGGAATTGCATTCTGAAAATCAGGAGATTCACTGATTACATCCCATGTGCTTCTGTGATTGCACATTTTGTTTTGAAGGTTTGGAGCTTCTCTATTGTGTGTTTTTGCTGTGCAAAATTCAACCACCTGGAAAAAAATAATTAGAACACAATATTGTGGTAAGTGTGAGGCATCACCTGCCTTTCCAAATATGTAGCTAGCTGCCATATGTACCCAACACATTTTATCTCCCGGAGGTCCAGAATTACATTGTAATCAAATATTGTGACACACATTTTGCATATTTGAAGGAGTAAGCAAGATAAAGCTGTCACTATATTCTGGTGACGTTTTAATGATTCTTTTAGATATAGGTAGACTGTGTCAGTGGAGGGGGTGGCAGGCTGGGATTTGCTAATTTTAGTTTCTTATTTTCCCTTCTAGACTTTTGGGGAGCTCAAGTCGTGAATATTAAGTTTAAGATGAAGGAAACAAAGTGTGGCAATGTCTAGCTCCCTAGATGTGAGTAGAAAAAATAGTCTTTATCTAAATATGTTATGTATCTTCACAGTTGTTTGAAAAACTTGAGGGTGGATGATCTAATGGTCTGGATTGTTACTGCCTCTGGTGAATTTTAACATACATAAAAGAATATTCCCAGAAAAGTAATGAATATATGGGGAAAAAATGAGGAATGTAATTATTACTTTATTAGTGGAAAATGATAAATTAAGTATTACAATTTGGCCAATGAGTGTTTTATTACTATAGAATCTCTGAAAATCCTCCAAATTTTGAAAAGTTAGTAATTTAGAAAACTGTTCTAATAAATTGGTGCAGCATTTAGAAAGGAAATCATCTTGCAGTAAGCCTCAGTTGGTAAGAATTACTTTCACAGCATCATTTTATTTTTTTAATGCTCTTCCTAACACAAATTCCGGATAAAAGCTCAGATCTAGAAGAACTAAATAATTAAGTTTGTCCAAATTTTAGGAGTTTGTTCTGTTTCTGATATGGCTGTGATTAACATGTCCCAAATGTGATTATGTTAGATAGGAGAAAAATACAGTTTTCAATCAAAGCAGTGACTAATTCTAGCTGTTACAAAATGTCAATCAAACCTTGTCCTCTTTCCCCTACCACTGCCACCATCTTTATTCAGGTATCTTACTTGTCTATTGTCATGACCTTCCAACTGGTCTCCCTGCCTCTCTGACTCCATCCTACCCTCCATAATTACTAGTTACCTTCCAGGAATAGTTTATCTGAACACATCACCAGTCTAAAGTTGAGAGGATAAAACTTGAACACCTTAGCTTTTTAGATCCCTGTTTCTTATTCAGTCTCCTTTTGGCCCCTTGCTCATCATGTATCTTTTGCTTTTTCTACAGAATTTCTTTCTGCCCCTGGAATATGTCAGAAATTTATACCAAGGTCTCTACTAACCCATATAGTAATTTTGTACAAGTTAGGAAAAGACATCCCTTTCTGAAATGCTTTACTGCTATTTGCTGAGAATTGTTTATAGTAAATATTAAAATCTTTAATGATGATGATATGAATACTTTATGGAGTGTTTAACTTGTGCAGTCCTGTATGATTACCTATTTACCTAATTCCACTCTTTGCTTTTGTAAATGTTTTTTCTTTTTGCATGGAATTAGTATTTCCCTTTTGGCTTTGGAAAATTCACATTCCTTTTTTTTTTTCAAATTTCAGCTCAGAACTGGTTCCCTCAGAAACCATTTTCTGACCTCCAATTGGAGATAATTGCTGTCCCCTTAACATTTGGTTCACATCTCTGTATCTTTTTGTAATTTGTGCTGTGTGGATTATTCTTGTATCTTTACTTTCCTCACTAAACTGAATTCCTCAAGAACAATTTATCTTTAATTATTTCTGTGTTTTCTGCTCCTGACACAGTGTTGGCCATGAAGTAGGAATAGTGAAGATTAAGAAAAGGAAAATGGAGAAATGAATATTCAGTGTCTTGCATCTTTTGGGGTCTGACCTCCTGCCTTGAATACAGATTGTATGCATATATATCATCTATGTTCTGATAATTAGAAGTTAATTAGAAGTTATTCTTGGCAAGATATATGATTAAAATTCAGTATTTATCTCTGAGCCAGACCTTACACAATTAGTTGCCCTACATTTGTCAGCCAATAGTCTTCATTATCATTCATGTTCCAGTGAGGGAGGATGAATTATCTCCTGATAGTCAATTGCTTTTGCAATATACAATTTGGAATAGGCAGTACATATTCCAACTATCTAGCATTTCATTGCATAGTAGGATGACAATAAATAATAATAATTTATTATATATTTCAAAATAGATAATAATAGGATTTTGAATAATCTCACTATAAAAAAAACTTTAGAGGTGATGGTAATTACTCTGATTTGATGATTATATATTATATTCATGTATCAAAATATGATACTATATTCCATACATATTATGTATTAAAATAAAAAAAAATTTAGCAACAAGAAGAAAGATAAGGCTTATTCAGGTAAACAAGAGTGTATCTTCCAAATGTTTTATAAATTTTAAAAATTAAGCTTATTTTGGGTTTATCTTGTGATAAGCACTGTGCTAATACTTTTTTCATATTAGCTTTTGTAAACCTAGCAACCATGACAATGTGAAGTAGTCATTTTAATAATTGTTTAAATGATGAGAAAGCTAAATTTCGAGATTAAAAGAAGAGAGCACTAAATTCAGATTTAAAGATGAGAGAACTAAATCTCAAATTTAGTAGTTTGCCCACAGTGACACAGATTAAAAATGATAGCCCTAATTTTGATGTCTGCCAATTATTTCATATAAAACATTGGCTTATGAATTTTTTCTTTAATTTATTCTATGGACACATTCTCATATGTATTTTCACATTATTACTTTTTGATAGCTTGGTACGCTTTACTGAGAATTTAATGGAAAACCTGGAATGTAGTACTTTCTACAGTTACCTTGAGTTACTTTAAAAAAGTAATATGGGGCCCAAGGATTTAGCTCAATGGCACAAGTGCCTGCCTGGCAAGTGCGAAGTTCTGAGTTCAATTCCAGATACAAAAAAAAAAAAAAAAAGTCATATGGGTAACACTTAGAAGAGGAATAAAATTAAGGTTGTAGCTCTTGACACAAGTTTGCAGAAGTGAATGAAGGAAGAATTTATGATGTGAATCTAAAAAGGAGAGTAGAATCCTACATCTGAAGTAAAGAAACAGGCTAATAAGAAAATGGTGTGATAATTTCCAGGTATATCCTGACACAGACCAGAAAAAATGACTTCTAAAGAATTGCCTGAGTAATTTCCTTTCTCTGTTGGCACATAAAATTTCACAGCAGAAAGATCAGCTTCCTTATTTTTTCCCCTAAGGATTTCTTTGTGAGCATAGAACTGGAAGGCACTTACTGAATCGAGGCTTTGCATGAACATTATCGAGTCTCTTGCGGTCTGGGATTTGTCTGGGATAAATGTGCATTTTGCTTCGTAAAGTCCTGTCTTGGAGTCACGTCTACACGGCCTTGTTATACAGCTGCCTCCCTTGCATTCATTGAAAACCACATTCATACCAGTAATGTGAGTGGAGCATCTGTGATGAAAGAATCAGATTATACCTTTATCTGCAGACAGAGAGAAATAGAAATAACAATAACATCCTAAAGTCTTTCTTTCTGTGACAGTTATAGAGCATGTAGACATGTTCCATGTTAACAGAAGAAAGCACAACACTCTCCACTTACTTGCCATCAATTTCTATAAGAACCATGGTTTTAGTTCATATTTATTAAACATTTCTTGTTTACACTAATGCAGTCAATAGATCAACTTGTTAACTTTGGGACTATGAACATTTTTGATTTGCAGGAATGACATGAAGATTAAATGAATTAAGAGATACAGAGGAATTACTTCTAAATGTTAAAGGGAAGATCTACATGCCTCAACTTTTCTCATGCTTCCAAGTGTGAAATACAAACTATATGTACAGCATTTGGAAATTTATTTTTGAGAGCCAATGAGGTAGACTGGAGGAAGAAATAAAAGTAAGCCTTGCCTGAAAATGTTTGTGTATTCACAGTATTTGGTCTTGATGATAAAGATAATTATTAAGTCCTTAGTAGGAAGTAAGGGTGAAATATGGGTAAAGAATTTGAAAGAATATGTACAACTTCCTGCCATTGTGTTACTATTACATGTCATTAGCCCATTTTAATAAATTTTCTTGTATTGCAAGGATTAAGGGGTAGGGGAAGCAATATCTTCCAAGAAAGCTAGCTGCGTTTAACCTGCAGGTTGAACTTGCACATGAGACTTCACTGCCTTAAAGTGCCTGGTATAAAGTAGATGTTTGTTTTTATGAATACATCTCTTTTTAAATATTCAATAAATGTTGTATTAGATACTAGTTTTCAATACCTTTGATGACTGATTATAAAGAAACCCATTTGTTTTTCATTTCTTTATGGAAAATTTATTATTTGGTACATTCTTCATTTAACTTTGACCTTATGCCTAGTCCAAGGACATGGGATTAAATGAAAACAAAAAGAAAAAGGAAAAATCCACAGTCATGAAGCATCTTAATTCAGCAGGAAGATAAAAATTGTATGTACAATTACTGCTCAGGGATTGAAGTGTGAGAGCAGCCCATGTGTACAGTACTGTGGGAATGCTCCCACGGACATCTAGTGTCAACTGGAGGGAGAAGAAGGACACTTAGCGGGGAAGTATTTCAAGAGTGGATAGGGAAGAATGAATTATTTGGGCAATGGAGTTTTATGGGATGAAGGTGGGAAGAATTAGTGTCCTGGCTGAGAGTTCCGTCTGTGAAGGAGTCCAGGCAGCTCTGGGAAGATTAAGCAAATACCTCAAAACAGATAGGGAGAGGTATGTTTCTAGCTCTCCTGTTTCATCAAACACATTTTTCTCTCAAATACTTCTTTCTCTTATTGATTTCTGTTGTTTTTCTATACTCTTTAAATATTCCACATGCTTGATATTTTTAACTTAAAGGTTTAAACATCTCATCTATTGATACAGAGTTTATTCCCCAAAATTACATTTCATTAAAAAAAAGTCAGTTTTCTGACTTACTCTTATAATAAATGATTTTTTCTTCAAATGAAAAGTAAAACATATCTACCACCAAGCTATTAGTTTAGTTGATTTCATGAAGCAGATTTATTAAGTTATGTGTCAGATGGAACTCAAATATAAGTAGAATTGAATTTCAATTCTCAGGTATCTACAGGTTTAGCTTATCCATTGTTTTCAGTCAGTAACATACGTTAGTACAATTCCTGTGAATACTAAAATGATTCCCAGTTCCTGATTGGTCTTGATTCCAAGGGAAAAGTCCCACAACTAACTAGATATATTCATAATGGTAAGGTTGGATATTGAAATTAATGTATGAACACCCAACCATCTGATGATAACCTTTGCTTGCCTAGTATAGAAAACGGAAGAGCCATGAAACGTTTTGAGAATAGATTAATTCAACACAATGATACCTTGTTGCTTCAATAGTGTTCTTTCTGGAAAAATAAAATGGCTGGTCCACATTATACTCATCAAATACTCCCCACCGGAGATGAGCCCACTCATGGGCAAATACTCTACCTGTCAGAGAACATTGTCATTTATAAGTTTAGAGTTACAGTATTTTAATATGGTTTCCTTATATCTGAGCCCCATCTTCTAATCTAATTGAGTTAAGGAAGTCTGAAATGTGACACTTTTCTTTATGTCAAAAAAGTTGAAATGGGTTAATACCAATAAATGACTCATTTTATATTTAAACTCATATGCACAAAGAAATGAAACAACTAGCATATTTTTAAACAGTTATTACTTAATACATATTTTATCCTCTTAAAATCTTTCAAAATAACATTAATCACGGTGTCACATATTTTCCCAGTGAGAATAAGAACACAAATATAAAACATATATTCTTACCCCGGGGCCCATAGATAGATGAATTATTAGTTAACAGGAAGCTTGGAGTAAAATGTATGTATTGTCCTTTATCTCCACATTGTCCATATTGAAGTGTGTAGGGATCACTGCTGTACGTAGGATGAGGATCAGCCACTATGACATCTGCCTAAACAGTAAAAGAACAAGCAAACAAAAACAAATTGCAAGAGCAACAGAAAACAAATTGCAAGTGCTTTGAAGACAAGCACTTTTGAATCTGCATTAAGAAAAGTTAGATCACTGATTTAAATACAGGAATTAAAGAAAGTTATATTAACTTTTAAAAAGCATAGGAAACAATTTAAGAGCTCAGTAGCCTACCTGTTCATATGATTCTTGTTTTGGCATTAAGTACTTAGATTTTGACTTCCAGGTCATGGGGATTAAAATGCTTACATTCCTGAAATAAACTCTTCGTTTGGTGGCATAAAACAGGTAAGTAGAAGCTTCAGTTACCATTTCCTGACAAAAGTAAAAGCACCTATGATAACAATTTCATATTGAAACGGATATGAAAGTGTATATACCAACTAGAAGAAGGAAATCAGTGTCTCTTTTCCCAAATATTTTTGCAAAGATCAAATGACAAATAGGTTGAATTTTGCTACATCTCTTCATCTATAAAGTCATCTTTATATTCCTGTAATTGACTTTCTGTTTTTTATCTGTCCACATCTGTAAATAGTATTATGGGTTGGAGACATGAACAAGGGTGGTGATGAGACATAAAGGTGATTAAGTTTGGGAGCTTGGTAGCAAGTTGATTACTTAATCCTTCCCTTCCCTTCCCTTCCCTTCCCTTCCCTTCCCTTCCCTTCCCTTCCCTTCCCTTCCCTTCCCTCCCCTCCCCTCCCCTCCCCTCCCCTCCCTTCCCTTCCCTTCCCTTCCCCAGCAACTCCCTTACCCATTTTTTTGTTTAATTTTGAGATAGGTTCTTTCAAAATTGGCTGGGCTGAGCTCAAATTTGCAATCTGTCTGCATCAGTCTCCCTGAATGCTGGAATTACAGCTGTGTACCACCATTCCTGACCAGAAGTTCTTACAATTGATTTGTTTAAACAAGTCTATTTTTATATCTGGTGCTAATTTCAAAACATTTTGCTAGACTTATTTTGACTTACCTCATATGGAGTGTGTTTATATATGACTTTCACTAAAAAGTAATAAACAAACTATGGCTTCAGCTCCCAGTTATGTCACTTACTATAGACTGTATGAATCACTTAATCTTTCTCATTTATAGAAAAAAACTTAATAATCCTTGTTCTTGACCATCTCATGAGAACATAATATATATGAACATCTTACACATAGAGTGTCTTATATAAGTAATGCAAATAAAATTAGGATAATAAATCAGCCTCAAAATATGTAATATTTTCTTTAAAACAAGTCATGATTTTTGTGTTTTTCAAAGCTAAGCAAGTATGAGCAACCAGGGAAATGTGTAAGATAATGAAATTAAGTGTAGTTTAGTGGCATAAGTGTGCTGCAGTTATTTGACTTCCTCAGAGTAACTTTATTGAAGATGAAATATAAAAACATTTTCCTGTTTGCTCTAAAGTTTTTTCTATTAGATAGCTGGTTGCAATAATTAGTACTTTGGTGTTTTTAATAATTCATTAAGGGAATGACTACCAGTATTAATATATAGTGAAAACATAACACTAAGCAGATATTATTCTTGACCATTTAGATAAATACTACATAAATGGTGAATACTTACAAAGCAACTTTGGGAAATTGTGATTGTATGAGTGTGTCTATGTGAAAATAGTTATTGAGATAAAAATATGTGGATAATAAAATTTTCTCTTACCTTTATATTTTGAATGAGTTCTTCATCTTCTGGTACACTGGGGTTAACTGCAATAACAATACCTTCGTATCCATTATTATTCAACTTTACCATTGAGGTTTTCACCTCAGGCAAGAGATGCAAAGCTAAGAGCAGAATAACCTTCAAACTGAACATCGTAATTACACAAACTACAATTAACCTTACAGAAAGGAAAGGAGAATATTTATACATCTGTTTAACTCAGGAATTTGAATCAAGGCAAAAATATTTGCATAAATATGGTATAGTAAAATATTACAGTTTCTTGGTGAACTTCCTTATCTTACTCATTCTAAAGACTTTGTTGTTAAGTGACAGTGGGCTAATATTCAAGACATTAATCATACTCTCTAAGACAGCTAAGTCATTGTATATTCATTGAATTGAACCTTTCTCTTAGATTGTTTGTGTGATCATCTTTGTAGTAGTAGGTGATTACTGTCATTGTGATTACGCTCAAATAGTCTTAGAGATATAAGTCCTCAGATCTGCTTACAGAAAGGCATTGTATAGCATGAGGAACTGAATGCAAAAGTGCCAGGAAAAAGCAGATGAAAAAGGCTCACATTAAAAACAAAAAATCAAAAGCCACAAAATAGGAGTGGCAGTTAATGAAGAATTTGTATTTTTTTAGTTAGGAGTGATGTGAACACAGTGGTTCAAAATACCTATGTGTCAGGGGGAAACTTTTTAAAGTCACCTTCTACAATAGCTGATTGTTTATTCCAGTTTTCAAGTAACATTGGATGTGTTAAATGCTTTATAACCAGAAAAGTTTATATGAAAATTAATAAACAGGGGCTGGGGATTTAGCTTAGCGGCATAAGTGCCTCCCTTGCAAGCAGGCAGTCGTGAGTTCGATCCCTGGTACTGATAAAAAGACAAAAAAAATTAATAAACAATTAAGATTTCTGTTTTGAATGGAGCACAAATGTTTCGTAGCTTAAAATAATAGTACACAGGGCACTGAGAACTGGCTCTGGAATCTTTTAACATTCACGTGGTTCTTGTTCACTCTTGCCTTAGTCACTTAATATTCACATGATTCTAAGAGTAATGTGGCTTTTTATTAGGCCATCTTTTGTGATAGGAGAATAAATTATGGGATTCAGAAAACTAAATGAGATAATCTATGTAAATCACTTCAGACAAAATATCTGACACCTAAGATTTCAATACATACTACATATTATTACTAAACATTATATATGTTATAAAATTT